ATGAAGTTCGCGCATATAAATAAATAAATAAAATTTATTGTAAACATAATAGATTTGTTTGAATAATTGTCTATTAGAAAATATTAAAATTTAAAATGAGGCTAAAATGATGAAATCCTCTCTAAGAAAGCGGATTACATATGTGGCAGATATGGCAACCACAAATAGTTTATAACACGCGAAAAGCATGATGGTAACATTGTGGCATCACAACCTAAGGTTGGTAAAAAAACAGAACGCAACAAACATCGCTCTCTTTTTTGCATCCGAACCGGTAACGGAAACGCACAGAAAAGTTAAGCAATAGTGGAATTAGCAATCCACACATATATGTATGTAGGTATAATCCGAAAACGCTACTTTGTTGTATTTTGAATTATATGTGGCGCTATATATTAAAATTTTATTAAAATAAAAGTAGTAATATATTCATTGTTAGTTCTAAATTTCTTGCTGGATTTATGTAGGTCTTAAATTTTGTTCCAATACTAATTTTACACTTAGATATATCGAAACACTTTCGTATGAATGTTGTTTAAATAATGGAATTTTGCTGTTGAATTGTCAAGTTATGTATAATATTTTAACCAAAGTGTGAGCATTACAATTCTAAGATCGCATAAATACCCTGAAATGAATTTTTAGTAACCATTTTTTTTTAGAAAACCATTTTTAGTATACTTGTAAATTGTCTCATTGACTGACTTAACTCATGCTTAAGTCATTCATTTTGCTAACTGGTTTCATAGTTAAGTTAGTTTTGCGAAATCGGCTCTAAAAGCAATATAGCTTCAATTTGAATAAGAAACATCGATTTAAAGCAGTGAATAAATACCGTACAAGTGATTTTAAGGTATGAGTTTTAGCTGTTAGCTGACTATAACTCAAAAAATAAGAAAGATATGACTAAAAAGAAATTTATATATGTTCAAACATGTGTGACGTCAGAGAGATCTTAAAGGGAAGTTTTAAGAGCACCCGATTTTGCATTATTCTTAGCTCTACCCACAGGACTCTTGACAGTATTTAAAGAATATATCAAGTGTATTTAACAGAGCGAGCACTATCTTATCCTGGCTCTTGAACTAATGCAATGCTTGTCCTATTTTGGTTCATGTTACGTACTTGATATTCACGAAATACAGACCGTTTATACCTATATATTAATTTTGTATATTGTCAGATTCCATATTTCACAGGAAAGAGATAGAAAGCCACAAATAATAGGTCTGTTCCACGAGCTACTCATAGTAAAACATGAGAAAAGCAGAAGTAAAATTTACAAAAAAATACTTGAAAATTTGCTGGTGGAACGCGCTTGTGTATACACAGTGTTTACTCAAAGTTACTATGAGTAGCTCGTGGAACAGACCTAATATGTATAAATCAGAAAAAATTTATATTTTCAATTTATATTTTTTTCGTGTAAATTTATTTTATTTTATCAATAAATTGTAAATGTATTAAGACAAAAAACGTTACTTATATTATAATAGTTTTAATATTTTATTTTGATTAAAATTACGCAATTTTAATAATGAATATATAATATATGTATTTATATTGTTTAAATTTAACACTTTCTTTAAGTTTTTAAAGATATTAATATTAACAAAGGGCAGAAACTATACATTTAACATTAAGGGATTTGTTTATAGGCGTGTGTGTATGTGTGCATGTGTAAATAATAATACAAATTTTATTGCAAGTATATATGCGTATATATGTATGTACAAACTAAGAATAAAAACAACAAAAATACCTTTCAACTGTAATATTCGATTTAAAAACTAAGTGCTAATATATAATATATAATACAATTTCTTGTTTTTGGTATGTTAATGCAATAACCGTTTATAACTAACATTTTGAAACTGTTGTAAGGCCCTAAATCCAAATTTCTCCATAACTTCCGTTTCAGAAAAATCTGTGCTTAAAAATAAGTTTTTGGTTTTTGAAAATTTTTTAAAGTATCGTAAGTTTAATATTGAAACGAGTTTTATTTGGTTTACTAAATCAAATTTTGGGTAGATTTATAGAAAAAATTTAATTCTTTTTTAGTTATAAAGCAAAGTAACAATATTTTTAAAATTTTAGCTAATTTTTATATATGTATTATTTTAGGAATATACAATAATACAAAAGAAATTCTTTGGATTCTCTAGCTTTTGTAGTTAAGTTGCAACTTTGAAAAGTGCATACACTGAAAAAAATTAAATGCTATGACTTATGTTTTGTAAGTAGTTTTTTTTTAAAACTGATTCTGTATGTATTGAATAAAGTTAAAAAATGTTCGTTGTTTGGGAAACCTTTGATTTTGTATTTTATGCAAGTAGTATATATTTTAAAATTAATTTATTTATGGATTTTCGTTGTAAATTTTGTCCTGTAATATTTTTTGCAAAATAATTATGGATAATATTATAATTTAATATATATAAATAAACTTTGTAAAATTGTTTAAAAAATTTGAGTGTTTCATTTACGTTAGCGTTCAATTAAGTTATTGTCAATTTTTTATTAACATTTTTAGTGTGCACTAAGAGTTTGAATTATAACGAACATTTTGTTAACAATTGTTTGTTATTAGTTTGTTAATTTTTTTTATTTTTTTTTTTGTTTTTTAGAATTTAGATAAGATTTCTTATACAACTTTAAATGATAAGAACACAACACAGCTTTTTTTCGTGCTTTACTTTTTCATCATCGAACTTTTGAATGTGTATCTATAACTATATCTAATTCGAAATATCCTAATTTAATTTTATTAAATAGTTTTCATAAGGCCAAATGAACTTTTCTTAATTAATAAAAGTATTTAAGCTTAAAAACTAGTTTTACAAAAATTTATAACTAACGCTTAAGATTTAAATGAACAAATAAGTAAGAATCGTAGAAGGTCTAAATGCAAAATAGGTGACCTCGACCTCTTAAGAAAAACTTTGCTAGTGGAATGATCAGCATATTGGCTTTATATGTTTTATTTAATTTAATTTAATTTAATTTAATTTAAATATATTTTAATTAATATTGTTTTTCAACAATATCTTAAAGATTCACTAAAATTAAATTTATCCAACTATAAATTTTGTTTGTTTGCTTTTTTGTAAATGCTTATTTAAAAATCTTCTTTCAGTTAAAATAAATTTTCAAATGAAAATGGATGCACAATATTTTTTATATATTCCGTATACTATAATAAATATTTTAAAATTGCAATCAATATATTTTTTTTCTGGATTAAATTAAATACATAGTTAAGGAATTGGTAGATAAATCGTTAAAAGCGGCGAAGCGGTGGGGATATTTTATTATAATCTTTTTAATAATTACTGTTAATTATTTTAATACAATCATTTCACAAAAATACTTGGAATCAATTTCAACTATTAATGTAACTAATTTGCAATTTACAGCACAAATACGTAGAACAATTTCATATTTTTGCATATTCACTTTTCAAGTTTTATATATATGTAGTAACCATAAGTAAATATAAATTTTAATAGTGAGTTAGTTATTGGTAGGTAAATGTACATAGTAAGTTTTTGATGTCTAATTTCTGTATTGTCAAGTTAACACCTTCTGGTCCAAAATTCATGTATTCGCGGTTTATGCAGTACCGATTAGGAAATAAGATTTGAAAATTAGGAGTTCAGTAATACAAAAATACATTTTCTCCAGTTTTATAATAAAACTAAGCGTAAATTAGTAAACATTAAAATTGCTAAAACCCAGCCTATTTTAATTTTGAGTTGATGTGTAGAATATTTTGAGCCTAAATTATAAAGCGAAAGCCATCTCGTTGGAGTACATAAAAAGGTACCGGTTTTTCAAAAATAAAATAAATTCATTCTGTAGTATTTACTATATGTATCTAAAACACTAAACAATATGTACGTACTTAAACTTAAAGCTAAGACAGAAAAATATATATGGAAGAACTAAGATGTATGTATTTCATAAAATAATAATGGATTTATATAAAGCAACTAGTTTATAAGAAAATGTATCGAAACATAAATTTGTATATAAATGTACATTGTAAATATTAAAATATTAAAATAATAATAAATTCGATATAACGAAAGGTTTTCTGATACTAAAACACATATTAAAAAATATCAAAAACTAAATTAATATGACAACAATAATTCTGGGTTCACTACTTGAAAAAAGCTCTATCTGTGTTCCTGCACATAATAAAAATATTAAAAAACAATACGACTAAATAATGAAGTCTGCACTTAAACGATAAGATTTTTGCAGTGTAAACGTAAATTCTTACAACTTTAAGTACACAGTTAAGTGTGAACGTTTCGGCTGGCCACTTTCAGCCAGCTAATTGAGATGAGATGCCGCTTTTATTTTTCCGGCTGGAGTAGTGATATTAATGCAGCTGTTACGCAGCGATAGCAGTTCTTTAGTTGATCAGCAGTTTGGGATTGAACAAGTCGAATGGATGTTGAGTTGGCGCCTGCGTTGGTGGGGGTGGTGCGTTAAATCTTGGAGGCAAGATAGTCGCACCGTTGTGGTGATGTTGGTGAAGATGAGGATGAAACAGCGAAGCATTGTTTATGTGCAGTTGTTGCAAGGCATGAGGACTATGCAATAAAGGCGGATGCGCAGTTGCTCTTTGCTGTTGCAAACTTCCAGTGTTCCAACTATTGAACAGTCTTTGTTGCTGACGTTGCTGCTGTTGTTGTTGTAACGCTGCAATTGTAGCGTTATGTTGGTACGCTGCGGCTGCAGCTGCTGTTATATTCATATTATTAACACCAATACCGGGAGGTGCGCCAATAGTAGCGGCGTGTGCTCCATTGGAGTGGCCATTCAGCATAACTTTTTTCCGAAAATCTACAATATTCAATAAATTGGTATCAAGCGTTGTTGAGTTCCGTCTAAAGTTATTGCATGCATTTGGATTCGTTCTCGACGTGCTCGGTGCTGCAGATTTTGTAGCTGTTGTTGTAGTTGTTGCGGAGGTTAAAGCTGCTGAATTGTCGCTTACCTATTCCCTATAGGGCTTGCAATATGAATAGCGGTGATTCATGTGCTGGCTATAGGAGCCGGAATGCGAGAATCGTTTAAGGCATTTGGAGCATTGAAAGGGTTTCTCACCGCTGTGTAAGCGTTTATGTTCAGTAAGATGATGTTTGTGTTTGAACGCTTTTGGACAATCAGCACATTGGTAGGGGCGTTGACCTGCATGAAATAGAAACAAAGGCAATTTATAAGATTTACGTTAGAATCGAACCAGTTAAATTGACTCACCGGAATGTTCATATTTGTGTCTTGCCAGCGAACTTTGCTTTGCAAAGGCTTTGTCACATTGATCGCAAACGAATGGTAGGTCAGGATCGCCAGCATGGCCATGTGTAGATTCATTTTTGGCACGTTTTGGTTTGGGAGGAAGCAACATTGTAGCTGCAAAGTCATCCTCGTGTGAAATACGAGAATCATCATCACGCCATGAACGTTTCTCTGAGCCTCCAGGACTAAGGCTTGTACCTCGTAATGTGTTCAGCTTAATACTGCTCATCAACGGATTTCGAGCATATTCGGCAGCAGCTGGTGACATCTGAAAGAGCGCTTCCATTGGAACCAAATTGCGTTGTGTTGATGAACCAGGTAACATGTATGATGAAGGTAAATGAGCGCCAGTCATTGCGAGAGCTGCAGCTGCAGCTGCAGCATTAGGAAAACCACCAGTCGGCAAAGTATTGTGGCGAGGTGTTGACGTTTGTTGTGGTAGCATAGGTGTTTCGTTTGGGGAAGGAGTCTGTCGCAGTATATGCGGTGCGGGCGTTGGTCCAAAGTATAGTGCCGCTACCGCGGCTGCAGCCACTTGTTGTTGTTTGAACGTTTGTGGCACTGATGCAGCAGACGAGGGAGAAAACGAAGGAGAGGACACTTTCCGTCTACAAAGATTAATAGCTTCGTTCAGATTTGAAGATGATTGCGGTACAACTCCATAGAGTGGAGAGAGTTGCTGTGAGGAGTTAATAGTTAGTTTAGCAGACATCATGTCTTCTCGCTTAAATGACAAATCGAGCGGCTGTTCGTCTATTCC